ACGTACAACGTTCTAAAATTGCGCCGCTCAGGGTGGCTGCATGTTAGAGTAGCTCTGTTACATTCATTCTGATTTATTGCTTTTGAACAGTTTAATTCCTCTTTTTTTCTGGTTGTAAATTGCTTTTTAAGGATGATTCTTTCCTCTGGTGTCGGATGCTGTGCAGCTAAAAGGATTTTTACTGAAACCTTTTTACTTTTGGGAATTTGCTATTATGCGTAACCAACAAGGTGTTTTTTAACAACCAGGAGCAGCTGATTAACATCTCAAAAGCTCAAATACCTCAACTACAGCCCCAAATCCCAAATGAGTTGAAAAGGAGTTGCCATGGACGAATTCCCGTCAACCTGGCGCCGGTGCTCGAGTATCTGACCGCCAAGATCCTGAAGCTGGTGAGACACTCGGCTTGTGACAACGTGAGGACCGAGATCATCCCCTGACACCTTCAGCCGTCTGTCTGTGGTGATGAGGAGCTCTGCAGACTGCTGGGAGGAGTGACCATCGCTCAGAGAGGAATTCTGCCTGGCATTTGGGCAGTCCTGCTGCCCAGGAGAACCGAGAGGCCCGCCAGATCTGACAGCAAGCTGGATCCAGGTGGATGGATCGGTATCTGTGGCCAGATTCTTCGACTTTACTGCAGGAGATCCTTCCTGCCCACAGCTATCAGCGTATAACAACTCTTGAATGAAACCAGGAAGATGAGCTACAACAACAGTTAATTTCCCTTTGGGATTAATAAAATATTTTTTTAATTTAATTGACTTGAATTGAATTATTTTGATGATTTATTTTTATTCCAGCAGATTCATTCCCTCTTTGGTTGTGTGTAGCCAGCGAGGTATGTTTATTTGAGTGCTTTATTGTGCATATTTGTAGTAAATTTGTGTGCAATATATTAATATGTATATTTTGTACATTGTTATGTATTTTGCACAGTTCAACAGTAGATTTGATGATCGTGCAGAGTGACTTAAGTGCCGTTCAGAGGACAAAATCCATCAGTAACAGAAGAATTCTGGTGTTGTCTATTTCCTGGAGGGAGTGATAAATTCCATGGAAACACCTTGGCTTCTATTCAAGGCGAGAATGCAATCACATATTGGATTAAAAATTATATTTTTCTTTCAGCAACACATCTAAGATGTTTCCAAGCCAGGGGTTGTTTAGAAGGCCGCGTAAAAAAAAAGAAAAAAGACTCAAGAACATGTCCATCCATGGTGAGTTTGTTCAGTGAAACTCCACTGAACTGGAAAATACTGCTGGGGCTCATGTTACCTTCCAGCTCACTTGGAATCGCTGCATTTAAGTCCCGTATGAAAGTTTTTCACTTGCAAACATCCTTTTTATATTAAGACCCAGATTGGATTGTTTTGTGTCATCTTCATCACAGCATCAGTATTGTTGTGAGAAATGTTTCAAAGGTTTTTACTTTTTACTCATCTGTTCAGAGTAAAGAAACCAGTGATTGAAGAGGAGGACTCCAGGAGCCAATCAGATCTCAGCAGAGGTCCAGTGTCCTTCTAGCCCTGCTTCTGGATTCCTCCTTCTTTTCAACAATTCCTTCACTGAAGGCCTGGAAGTTGTGCTGTTTGGAACAAAGTAATCTTGATTTATGAGCATTTATGTATAAGAAAAAGGTGTTGTGATCATTTGAAACACACAGTAGAAGTAACATGACACCAGCCAAGAAAAGTTCTCAGAATTGTCTAATAAGTCACTGTTGATCTTGCTGCAAATTACTTCAACATCATCTGATTTAAATTTGAACCCCATCAATCAACAACTAGACAAACTGTGCACAAACGGGGGGGGGGGGGGGGGGGACACAAAAACACTTGTACTATTAGAATTTGGGATTCTTGGAGCAACAAAAGATCACATTGTTTAACGTTTATAGGTCGACAACGCCAGCCCGGGTGTAAAGGAGGTGCAAAAGCCATGCTCCCCTAAACAAATACTGTTGAAGATCTGTATGATTTTTAAAAATCCCACAAACCATGTTGTTGTTCAAGCCAAACATAGCAGTGAAGGGGACAGGTTATACGGGACAGATCTGTTTGGAAGGCCATAGACTGAGGAAGTCCTCTGGATAGGGGACGAAATGTTTCTCACAAAAAAACTGGTCCAGATGACACAATTTAACCTTGCTTGTTGTTATCTACCTGGATGGTTGAGCTTAAAATGAGAAGGCTATTAAAAAATATTCTTTATGTTTAAGCAGCCCAGCACTGATCTGCGAAAGCTCATCAGACGAGAAATGAAACATCATTAACCAACAAGAAAAGACGCCCAGTTATCTGTCTTTTTTATTTCTAGTTTTTGGCATGTTCTGGATGACAGAGAACCAAAACAAACATGTTTAAGCTAAGCTTAAACGAAAAAGAAAACCAGCACATCTCAGCATAAGAACCTCAGTGCACCTTTAAGAAGTGATGGTGGCAGCTAGACAAGTTATACCTTTGGACCTTTTATGTTGCACCTGAGTCTCAATGGATTGCTAAAGATTGATACATTTGGAAATATATAATCAAATTCTAAAAGAAAAGAAAATGTTATGACATTTTTCCATCAATTAAAGACGAAATTAAAAAAACTTCTGTCAGAAGTGACTTTGAACAACAAATGCTGTAAAAAAAAAATCCAAAATAATTGGTTTATGTGAGAAAAACCATTAGCACCTGAAATAAATCAATGGTGTGATGCCTACGAGGGAGTTCAGTCCAGCCTGACTTCTTGAGCTGCGCTGCTGCTTCACAGGTGACCTCACACTCCACAAAACAACCTATCGAGCCCAAACAGGTGATCTGTTTAAGCTGCTAAAGTTCCTGCCTCTCTCTGCATGCCAAAGATGCCACTGTTGTCGCCACAAGCTGCCGGCACAAACTCTGCTTCTCGCTCCTGTTGAGCCATTCCACCAGCCCTGCATCCATCCATGAGCTCCGAGGTCAATGACCCTCTCATCACTCCAGCCAACAGTCCAAAGTTTTTACCTGAACAAACATGCTCACATGAGTTACAGTCTTTGACTGTGGTAGGATGCTCTAGGTAGGTTATTGGGTAATTTTCATCAATTTTTTAGGGTTTTGTACACTTTTGATGCCATAATGTTCCATCCATCCATTATCTTCCTCTTGTTCTGGAGTTGGGTCGTGAGGGCAGCAGTTTAAGTAGGGAGGTCCAGACATTTCTTTTCACAGCCGCCTCTTCTTGCGCTTCTGGAATGATTCCAAGGTGTATCCAGGCCAGCTGAGAAACAGTTTCTCTAGCATGACCTGGATCTTCCCCAGGGTCTCATTCCAGTCAGACAAAGAGAGGTGCAAAGGGAGCATCCTTCCCAGATGCCCAAACCACCTCAACTGGCTCCTCTCGATGTGGAGGAGCACCTGCTCTACTCCGAGTTTCTTCCAGATAACTGAACTTCTCACCCTATCTTCAATACCTCTTAAGCGTTATAAAGCCTGTACCAGTCAGTCGGCCTAGTCCGGTCTTCCTCTGGTTTTGTTTGCTTTCAGCAGAGTGCCTCTTCGATGTGAGCGGGATCATCATAGCAAGACCGTGCAAATCTCCGCTCAGCAGTAACTGCACCTCATCATTTTTCCTGGGCACTGGTACTATCTCTTGTATTTCCATTTTTTTTTTCTAAAGAACAGGAGCTCTTTCTGTCACACAACTGGCCAGAAGCAAGTAGCTGAAGTAAATGGTGGTAAGGAGCAGTCACTGGAATTATGACTCATCTGTGACGTACATCACATCTGAACATTCTGAGGATCATCTGAACTCCAGGTCTCTAGGTTCCAAAAGTCGAGCTGGAAATGAGCCAGACTGTCCAATGGCAACACTCAAAACCTGGGGCAGAACCAGTCCAGGTCAAGCCGGGCCTTACAGTGCATAAGGGCCATAAGGAAGAGACTATCTAACCTGCGGAGAAAACTCAACACCTCTATGCGTGATCTCATTCTTTCATTCACTACCCAGAGTTTGTGGCCATGAGTGAGGGTAGGAACGTAGACCGGCATGTAAACAGAGAGCTTCACCTTACAGCTCAACTCTCTTGTCACTACAATGGACCGGCCCAGAGTCCACAATACTGCAGAAGCTGCACTAATCTGTCTGTCAATCTTCCGCTTCATTCTTCCCTCACTTGTGAACAAATTCCCGAGACACTTAAACTCCTCCATATGAGGCAGAACCTCATTCCCAACCTGGAGAGGGCAGTTTACCCTTTTAAAATCTGTGAAAATGGGCAACTCTGGAAGAGTCCAACTCCCACCTTGAAGGGGTTCATCTTACTGCTGGCAGAAAACCAAACAATCACACCACTTGCAAAGGGACTGAATGCTTGTAGCACACTCACAGAGCACCCCGCACAGTGTACCTCGAGGAACACGGTTGAATACCTTCTCCAAGTCCACAAAACACATGTAGACTGGATGGGTAAACTTTGATGACTTCTCGATGACCCTAGTGAGGGTAAAGAGCTGGTTCAGTGTTCCATGGCCATAACGGGACCCACATTGTTCCTTCTGAATCCACCACCATGTTCCCAAAAGCAGAAATCCAGCCTATATTCATAGCAGTGTAATATATCCATCCATCCATCCATCCATCCATCCATTATCTTTACCCGCTTATTCCATTTTGGGTCACGGGGGTCGCTGGTGCCCATGTCCAGCAATCACTGTGCGAGGGGCGGGGTACACCCTGGACGGGTCGCAAGTCCATCACAGGACAGTGTAATATATGTGACAGCATTACTTAGCATTTCAGCATGCGCCCCACATAAAGGTCAAATTATAAAAACAAAGTGGGTGTGTTGTGTACATTTTTAGTAAACAACTATTTACACTTTCAGTATATTCATGTATCTGCTGCTTGTCTGCAGGACCTGTGTGCGCATTTATTGTCCATACGCATCAGCATTTGTGCACTCAAGTGTTTGTTCGTGCCTTCTGGATGTGTTCTGATCTAAGTGAGGTCATGAGCGTGGGAGAGTGACTCACTTGTTGTACAGGACCACGTCAGGCAGCCAGATATGTTTGGAGGGCAGCCTGACCTTCAGCATCCCGTCGAACTCCTCAGGGACCCACGTCAGCCGGTAGTCCTGCCACTCCTGAGGGCCAACAGAAACATCGTGCTTTGTCACTCATCTGTCGATCTCACAGCAGCGAGAAGACATGCACGGATAAGAAATGTCTTTCTGCTTCATGATTCTGTCTCTCTGATGTTTCCTGAGTCTTTGGAGAGGGTGTGTTTACGTGTGTGAAGTTGAAATGGCTTCCTGCAGTAACTGGGAAGCATTGTGATCATTACAGGTTGTCTAAGCTCTGTTGAGCTGCCCAGGGCTTCCTAAAGATTCCTAATGTTGACAAGCACTGAAGACATTCTACGCTCTGTTACATGTCAAGCCCTCATTTACTTAGATGAGAATACAAGAAGGGTGTTTCATTTAGAAATCTAAATTTATTCCCAACTAGAGTGGGCCCAGATACGATTAATAAACTAGACGTAAGCATAGATGAAAAGCTCAACATTTCCCTTTGATGATCTTCTGAATTCTCTAATCTTCAAACATCCCCGAAGACACCAACAAAGTCCGTGCTTAATAATCCAGGTATACAATCCAACAATTTTCAGTCAGGTCATCTGGACATTTTCTTTTTTTTTTTTTCTGAAACGTTTCACCTTCCATCCAGAAGGCTTCATCAGTCAAGGAAACACACAACACAAAACTGATTCTTCCCCCAACAGCTTACTCCAAAGTGGAACAGTTATGTTGGTGCTAAGATGGTCTTTTTGGCACACCCCCTCCTCCGGTGTCGGCCCTCTCCCTCATCGACAGTCATGTCAAACTGGTTCAAAACCAACAAAGTCCATGCTCAATAATCCAGGTATACAATCCAACAATTTTCAATCAGGTCATCTGGACAGTGTTTTTTTTTTTTTTTTTTTTTTTTTTTTTTTTTTTGCTAAACGTTTTAAAAAAAAAAAAAAAAAGAAAATGTTCAGATGACCTGACTGAAAATTGTTGGATCCCCGAAGATAATTTATCGGACACTTACTGCAGCTGTTTGTAGTTGTTTTTGTTTTGTTGGTCAATCAGGAGATACAGTAAATGCAGAATATCACTTTTTTTTCTTACTCTCCTGAACAAAAGCTTTAAAAAAAAGGCATTTGCAGTATGTTTTCGGTCATTCTCCACCCATTACAGGAAGTGCTGGGTCATATTTTGCTGCATTTGTCTAAATCTGAGCTGGTAGTGTATCCTGTAGAACCCATGAGGCTGCTTCCTTTTGCTGTTTTGCCTTCATTAAACACCAACAACGGCAGGAACTCACGTCGCACATGAAGAATTTAAAGCCCTCTTTTAAAAGGTTGACATTAGTTTTAGTAAGAAAGTTATGTTGTCATTGAGGATCGGGATCATTAAATCACTTTATGACTATTTGCAAATAAGACTGTTTCATTTTGACTGCTGGATCAAAAGACGTTGTTTTATGGCTTCTGTTTTGGGTATTTGGGCTAACTAGGCTCATGGAGCCAGCGTCAGGTGCATGGTAGGCTCTTACAAGAGCTTCCTGGAAGCTGATTGGCCCGTAGGTCTGAATCTGCACGAATCACGAGCCCTAAGATAAATCTCATGCTTTGTTTGGTCTGGGTCGCAGCTTCTGCAGACACACTGAACTCTGCTATGCAGCATTAAAACCTTTATTTCTATTTTAATGAAACAAAAGAGAGTTGACCTGTTTAGTTCTTGAGTCCACCAATATTTCAGAAAATCAACCACGTGCCTTGTTCTGGCTTCCTTAGGATGATTCTATATGAATAATTGTGTAAAAAGAAGCTCACAACTGTGTAAAGGTTTATAAAATAAGGTTCAGGTGAACTCCCATGAAACTTTAGCTCATCATCTGCTTTTGGCTGTTCTTAAAACAAGATTGAAGCTCAGAGGTGATCTGGCTTTTTCAGTCGAGGGTCCCAAACGTTAGAACAATCTGCCCCACAACATCAGGCAGGCCACTTCACTTCCTGTTTTTAAACCTCAGCTAAAAACACATCTGTTCCCCTTGTTTTTTCACAGTATTTTCCAGCTCTGCATTTCAAGTTTTTCTTTTGATGCTTTAAATTAATTTTCAGTACTACCATTATTATTATTTTATTTTATCCATGAAATTACTCCCATTGATTTTATTGTTAGCAATTTGGTAACAGCTGCTGTCTTAAATGTGATTTATGAACAAAGTTGACTTGACTTTAGAGACTGAAAATGCTTATGATTGCAGAAATTCACTGTAGTCTTAAAATATAAGTACGCTTATCAATTCAGTCAGAGTTAAATTCTGTCACCAAACGGGTGTCATTCATCTACAACAGGTAAGATACTATTGCTCTTAACTTTCATACAGAACCCCACTTTAAAATATCTGAATGATCCCTTTACACTTTGAAAAGTTTTTTGTTTCAACTAAGAGATGTTTACAGTACTTAGTTTTTATTTATTTTTAAAAAATGATTCCCCCTCATTACAGCTTTTTTTTTTTTTATTCAAAAATGTCCAACTCCCATTCGTCCCTCCTGTTATCCGACCCATCGCTGGTGGACGTTTGATTCTCATCATCTAAAAGTTGGTATGTTTTATTTGCAGTAAGAGCTCTTTTGACTTCTTGTTTTTGGTTCGAAAGTATATTTTTCATATGCAAATGCCAACTTTGGATTTGGATTTTCAACACTTCCTCTAATTTAGATCTAATAGCTTCAAATAAAAACTGAATTTTAATTGCACATTAAAGAGTTGTAACTGAAGAACTTAAATGAGATATACATGTTTGATCATGTTATATAAGCGTTGAAATACCAAGCCATGAATTAAAGCTCAAATCTCAGTCAGAGCTGGATTATGTTCACAAGTTAACAACAATGCAACACTTTACAAACTCAGCAGAGAAAAATGAGGTTTGATCAAAGTTCTTTCTTTTTCACCAACTTTACTTCAGTCACATCTGTCCTAAAGTTAAAAGTTATGGTTTGTATCACGGGTCTTCTCTTTATTTGTTCAGTTCTCATAGCTGCGGGCGGGATCACACTCTGCGACCCACAAAGCTACTGAAACATGTGCAGCACAGAGAGGCAGCTTTCAGCTCATGCATCATGCTCTGCTGGTGTAATGACAGCGTAGAATCTGATTAAACAACATATAAATCATCACGCACACTGGTGTGTCGTACACACAGGTTCAGTCAGTGTGTGTGTGTGATAAAGTCATTTTATGGTTGCCGTTCATAGTTTGGGATCTGACCTGACCGTGACAATGTGATATCTAAAATAAAAACTGCCTAAATTGCGTGTTTGACTCCTCAGGTGGTCAGCATTTTCTTATTAGTTCTGCCTTTTTCTCTTTTGGATGAGATGAAGCGTTCGGCGGCTCACCTGGGTCAGCCAGACATTGGTGGTCATCACCTGCTCTCTTTCATGCTGCAATAAAAGCACAAAAACATGAAAACAATGATATGATGAGGCCACCCCTGCGTGCGTGAAAACTTTGTTTTGTTTATTATTCTCATTTAACGTGCACCAATTGAAGCGTCAGAATTATTTCCCTGTCCATAAACGCACCGTAGCCAAGTTGCTCATTTGTGTTTCCAGCTGCGGGTCATTTTACTGTGTGAGGATGGCGTGCAGGAAGGACCAAAGGTGGCAGAAACAAGGATTTTTATTGATGTTATACCTGCCGTTCACTTTCCTGCTCAGTAATTCAAAGACTGGTGGTTTTTTTTATGGATTATAAAGTCCAGATTACATGATAACTTTAATTTGCAGGTGACAAAAGTCAATAAAGACTTGTTATGTATAACTAATGTAAGTCCTGAAAATATCAGACATTCTTTTTCCAGAAGTATGATGTAAAAAATATGAAAGGGATACTTGAGAAGTTTTTGATTGGGGCTTTGTGGAAAGTTCATGCACAGTAAATATCTTACCTGCAGTAGATGGCTCTTTGAAGACCCTCAGTTTGTACCAAAAAAGTTTAAGTCTGATCAGATTGACACGCTAACAGCTAGTCCAAGCTGCAGCTAGCTGTAGCACTTCCAGTTCAACCTGGGAGTGTGTGTGTGTGTGTGTGTGTGTGGGGGGGGGGGGGCACTTCCTGCAGAGATATCATGATAATCACGATATCATCAAATAATCATGATATTTCTGCCAGGAAAACTATATCAAGAATCAACTTTATTGTCATTTCGCAGTTAAGCACAATGAAATATAATTCAGTGCAGCTGTCTAACAAGGAAGACGGAGGTGCACGGAGGCAGCAGCTTCGCTGTGAAGCGCTGCCCTTATCACTGAGATAAGAAAAGGGAAGAAAAGCATGAGGAAAGAAGAAGGTATAAAAAAAGATCTCTTACACTGTGTCCTTGACACACAGGGCACAGTGTAAGGTAGCAAAAAAAAAACTACCTCAGCACAACAACATGGATAGACATTTGCAGGTGGGGGGGGTGACAAAGGTGGTGAGATTGTCCATAGTTCCATAGTCCTGATAATGATGGCACAGTGTCTATCAGTTGACTCAGCTCTGATAAGGGTCCACAGATGTTCTCGGGGGGGGGGGGGGGGGTGTTCATGATTTACATATTCTCCAGGAGCAATTTGAGACAAGTTGGCCTATCCTAGGTCAAACGGGGAAGCCAGATTCAGATAAATAACAACTGTTTTGGGGCAGGCCGTCTCTACTGATTTCATGTCTGCCTTCATAGTTTCTGCTGGTGCACTCGATGGTGAATCCAAACAGACAGATTTGTGGTCATTCCACATGTTCATAAAAGAACATTTATGATATTTAGATTTATAAAGTAGTGTTTGCAGAAATTGCTACGACATTCTTGGGGTCTCAAGGAGCTGTTTTCAGCAGGTAAGATAATATTTATTCATAACCCTTTCACACAACCCCACATTAACATATTTGAACCATCCTAAAAAGGTGAATTGAGATTTCTCCAAAGATTAAATTCTCGAGGTGCAGTAGCGGAAGCAGCAGTTTTTATCTGCTGTGACAAACGTGGTGATGTTAATTTGAACAAACATGAACACATTCAATACAGCATTTAACTCGGCTTAAATCTAACATGAAGTAAACGAGTATGCGTAACGCAGATTAAACGATGAGCATGATGTTTGATGATTGGGGCCCAGATGTGTTACTCACCACGCTGATGAGCTGGGCCAACGACACCATCAGCTGCACAGTGACCAGCTCAGAACCGTTAGTGGCCGGGCGGATCAGTTTGTTGTAATGCGCTGGGTTTAGGAGATGCTCCACCAGCCGCTCCTCTGTGTCTGCCCCGAGGCCACCTGCAGTGAGAGCGAACTATCATCAGCAAAGAAACATGCTGCAAACATACAGAGTAGATCATCCATGTGTGGTTGGAGTTTCTCTGTTTGGGCCTTTTCTCTCGCAGCTAGGACTTTAGGGCGGCAAACTGAGGGAAGCAGAGCTTTAACCATGGTGCTACGGATCACCGCCAGCTGGAGCATGTCGCCACAGCTTGACTGAGACTTCTTACATGATCTGACATCACAGGAGTGACTCAACCCGTCTCACTGTCTCTGTTCTTCCTGTCTCGTTTCGCTGCTGTCTCCATTTGTTCCCCTCCACTGTGCTGCACTTCGCCCCGACTGCCAGCTCGTTTTTAGCTTTGGGTTATTTTCACTCCATCTCACACGTCTCCTCTGCTCGCCTCCTCCTCCTGCCTGCCGTCCATCCATCTGCAGCAGAGTGAGGCCGAATCTGTGAGTTTAAGCAGAACTGTCACAGTGTGTGTGTTTTCTTGGGAGACGAAAAGCATCAGTTGCGAACCTCGTTCCTTCATCCTTCCTTGTGTTTTGCTCTTTGTCTCGTTGGCATCTGCTCGCTGCGCACGAGCTCTCATAACTCCTTCACACGTTCCCCCTGAAGATAAACACAGGCTGCTCGCTGTGAACTCGGCAGATTCACACGCGTCGTCTTTTAGAGGCTGTTAACGGCGAAGCAAAGCTAACGTGATGAGAGACTACGTCGATGAAAGCTCTGATGGTGGATTTCAGGTTTCAGGCGAAAACGCCAGCGATGATGTTTTGGTGTGGTTGCAAACACAGAACTCAAGTTTTACAAATGTTAAGATGAAATTTGTTGTGGTAGTAGCTGAGCGTCATCTCCAACTCGTACTCTGAGCGCAACAAATCAACAAGATCTTCGGTTAAAACTTTGACGCTAACTTAGGCCTGTCGCGATAAACAATACATCAACTAATTGCATGATAAATGGAAATTATCGACTTCTTTCTCATTCATCAGCTTTATCGTTTCTTTGTGTCTCTACTGAAAACACTGGATGACAAAAGGCTCAACTCTGGTGCTCTTCACTGATCCCTCCATTTCTCTTTTAAAATCTGTTTCAACTGTCCAAAACCATGTTTTTGGATCGTTAAAAGCAGCTAAGCTGAGAATCTAAGCTAACAGGACGACTTTCGGAATAAACCACCGTTTTGTCGAAGCTCCAGAATTCACAGTTGAAACCCGTGCCTTCATGTAAAAAGTTTTTTTCTGCAAAAAGAAGCTGAGAACTTGTTTACTGATTTTTTTTTTTTAATTAAAAGCTTTGTGTGAAAAATGCTATGCTAAAGAGCTCAAACCACATGAGCGTCCGCCATTTTGAAAAATGAAGAGAGACGCCTCACGTCAAGGCAGTGTTGCCAGGTGAGAAATGTAGGATTATCGTACTAGAGACATAAAATTATCGTATTTTGAGGAAAATTATTGTACCCTCTGTACGATCAATAATCCCAAATAGTCATAACAAAAATAACAAATTTATTGATGCACTATAGTAGTGATGGGTCCGCTTCCAGACCGGTTCTACTTCTTCTTCTTTTCTTTTTCTCATTCATGGGGCAGGCGCAGCGGACTATTCAGCCAATCATGGCCGTTGTTCTGAGGCAAACACAAATACGTCATTTGTAAGTAACATTTAGAAAAGCATGATTGGCTGGAATTTCCAGCCACTCATGCATCTGTTTGCAGACACAGATGCCTTCAGTACGCTTCAGGGTTCACAAAAAAACTCAGACAGACAGTTGCGAGAGGCTGATGACAACCGATTACAACCACTTTCACAGAATGGTCAAATTATCGTATGTTTGGCCTTTTTTGGGATTATTAATCGTGCATCGTACAGAGGGCAAAACCGTCATACAAATACGATAATTATCGTACACCTGGCAACACTGCATCAAGGGGACTCCCTCCCAGTTTTCTTAAAGAGACACGCTGCTCCCTCACTATCCATCCTTCGGTTCAAACAGTCTTATACTGTCATCTGGTGGTCAAAAGGTACTACATGCAAAGCAAGTTAAAAATGTCTTCTTAAATTTGACAATAATTACTAATTATTGTCAAATTTCAAACAATATAATCGTTTATCGCAATAATTTCTGAGACAATTAATCGCCCAGCAAAATGTGTTATCGTGCCAGACCTACACTAACTGTTCACTGACAATGAGCTCAGCCCCATCAGAAATCTAACATTTTTTGCTTATTTTCCTTCATTTTTGATGCAAGCATTATCTAAATAATCAAACTTAATAAACATTTTTAAAAGTCTTTTTGCTTTTTTAAATCAAAGTCTCACAAACCTTAAAGGAATGCTGCCTGCTGCTTTTGATGCTAGAAAAGTCACTCAGATAATCTTAAGTGGAGACATTATGAAGTTTTGGGTCAACGCATGAAAATATAACAATCTGTGACATCACAAGACCTTGGAAGATCTGTTATCATCTAATTTATGTGTTGCAAATAGCTCTCAGCTGCTACCACATCAAATTTGACCTTAATATCTGTCAAACGGGCTGTGTTATAATCAGCTTTGTGTTTGCTGAGTTCGAGTCCCTTTCAGCTTCCTTGTAAATGTACAAAGTACATACTGTGTGATTCTAAGAGTTTTATTAAAATCCATCCACATATTCATGAGATATTTTGCTAACAGACAAACTGGGATGACTCACTTCAACACATAAAACGACTCATTTTTAACCTAAGGAAAGGCTGCAAATATAAAACCTACGATACATCTTGTCAGTATCTGGTGTTTTCTGGTTGCATTTTGGCATTTTTGTGTTTTCTTGTTAGGTTGATTCTGTTTTTGGTTCGTTTGTTCTCTGTGTTTTTTGTTGTCAGGGTTTAGTTTCTGTTCCTCTGTGTTCCCTGTGACATCAGTCCAGTCTTCCTCAGTTCAGATCCTGCTCCTCAGACCTGCCATGTCCACTCTCACCTGTACCCAGTCTTTATACAGACCAGGTATCTCCACTATCTCATTAGGCCCAGCACATATCTTGTGACAGTTTTCAGTTTACCCTCAGTGGAGCAACGTGTGTGTTCTCACACCAAGACTCCTGGTCTAATTACGTACAGTAGTCCCTCGCTACTTCGCGGTTCAACTTTCACAGACTTGCTCTATTGCGGTTTTTCAAAATAAGATAGGACATGACACACAATTGGATGATTGGTGGATGAGCTTCAACATCGGCATGGATTTTTTATTTCAAATAAATCATTTAAAATAATGAAGCACCTGCTGCACCTGTGTGGAGCCCACATGTGCAGGGAGAAGTTCCCTCCAGCAGCTTGTCATGATCTCTGCTCTGCAGCGGAGAAGTAAGCGTGGATGAGAGCGTTGGCAGGAGACAGAGGACGGAGATCATGACATGCTGTGCTTAGAGTTTGGAAACATTTAGAATATTGCAAGAGTGTGGGAAGGGTTTAAAAGGCCTTACACACACACACACACACATATATAAATATATATATATATATATATACTACTTAGTAATTGTACTACTATTCATACTTCAGGGTTATTCACTTATCGTGGGTGGACTAAGAGCGGAAACCGCCGTGTTAAACGAGGGATTAGTGTATTTTGAATCTCTTCATGCCTCCTTGAGACTCCTTGTGCTTCCTTAAAATTAATCTTTGTTTTTGTTGTGTTTTTCTAACACGTCAGCCTTTTATTTTTTCTAAATAAAATGGATGTAGATCCAAACCGTGACACATCTGTGGGCTTTGACTCTCAAATGAATGGAGAAGCTATAGTAGTTGTATCTTTTGACAGGCGTAAGAAAACAACTCGCACAAAGTCTTCCTTAAGTGATGTTAAAGTTAGACTCATTCACACTCTGATTTACTGTACACAGATATTTTCAACATGGGGGGGGAGTGGTGTCACAGAGGTTAGAGAAGGAAAGCTTGTGATAAGAAAGTCGCTGGTTTGAATCCTCTGCATGCTGGTGAGCACCTTGTGCTATGGACTTGGAACGTTAATTCACTGGCAGGTAAAGAGTCAGAGCAAGTGTGTGAGGTTAAGTGGTACCAACTAGATACAGTTGGGCTCACTTCTATGCACAGCTTGGGCTCTGGAACCAACTTCTGGAGAGAGGCTGGACTTTTTCCTACTCTGGAGTTGTCCAAGAAGAGAGTCGTCGGGTGGGTGTGGGTATATTCATAAGCCCCCGACTGAATGCCTTGGTGTTGGAGTTTTCTCCAGTGAATGAGAGGGAACGGTGAACCGTTTGGCAACAGAAAAGACAAGTGGACCCCTTACCAGGTTGTGTTTGGTTTGATTGGGGGACTAATGAACCGGACTGAGGATATTGTTGAGCAGTAGAAGGAGTACTTTGAGGATTTCCTAAATCCACCCACCATGAACATCTTTGAGAATGCAGAGTCTGAGGACATGGGGCAAAACAAGTTCATTATCAGAGGTCATCGAGGTAGTCAAAAAGCTCTTCGGTGGCAGGGCACCCGGGTTGGATGAGATTCACGCTGAGATGCTGAATGTTCTAGATACTGTGGGGCTGTCATGGTTGACATGCCTCTCCAATGTCACATGGAGGACTGAAACAACACCTGTGGAGTGGCAGGCCGGGGTGGTGGTTCCCATTTTTAAAACGGGGATCAGAGAGTGTGTTCCAACTATAGTGAGATCACACTTCTCGCCCTCCCTGGAAAAGTTTAATCCAGAGTGTTGGCAGAGTGAAGCCATGGTTTTCAACCAGAAACTGGTGGAATGCTCCCTCTGGGTCTGGGTGGAGACTGCCTCAAGTGGAGAAGGTTAAGTATCTGGGTGTCTTGTTCACGAGTGATTTAAGAGTGGGAGATAAAGGTCAGTGGATTGAGGGTCTTGTCCTCGGTAATGAGGTGTTTCTTTGGGCTGTCGTGGTGAAGAAAGAGCTGAATCGATAGGCAAAGCTCTTGATTTACTGGTCTGTCTTCATTTCAACCCTCACCTTTGGTCATAAGGTTTGGATCATGACTGAAAGAACAA